AGTAGAGAACTAGAAACGTCGATGAGAGAGAAACATCGACCAGCTGCCTCCTGCACACCCCTCCCCGGGGATGTGCCTGCAACCAAGGTACATGCCCTTGACCGGAATCGAACCTGGGACCTTTCAGTCCGCAGACCGACGCCCTATCCACTGAGCCAAACAGGTTTCGGCAAGAAGTTTACGTTTAAAAAAATTGGGCTCTCCAAAGAAATTCCAATCGTTTGTCCTGTTGCTATCTGGCCCTGTGGACTCACGAGTTTGCCGGCCGCTGCTCTGGTCCAAGGCGCTCCGTCAGCACCACTTAACCCAGCTGTGCCGAATCAGCTCGACGGCGTAACCCTGGTTCCATCCCCACCAGCCTTCCACGGGACGTCAATTCCACGCCTCGGGATCCGTGGCAGGCAGGTAGGACGGCCGGGTGCTGACCTGAGGGCTGGGGACCACCCCCAGGGCAGCGGGTGGGCTGCCTGAACCAAGCCAGACACTCCAGCCCCTCTACCCACGCTCCTCAGGGCCCCGTGGGCCCAGCTCCGCCTGCCAGGCCCACCTGGTCTCTGCTCAGGCAGCACCTCCCCACCATTCCTCTGGCTGGTCTGCCTGCTGCTGCCCTGCCTTTCAGTGACACCTCCGAGGCCTGGCTGTCCTTCCTGTGTGTGTGTGTGTGTGTGTGTGTGTGTGTGGTGGGGGCAGGAGGCTGTGGGAGGCTGCCTGGCAGCTCCTCCTCCATTCTCCCACAAGAGGGCAGGGCCACAGGCCCACGTGGAGACAGGGCTGTCGGGACAGCTGCAGGGGGAAGGCAGAGGCGATGGGAAGGGGCCAGGAGAGAGGTGGCTGGCAGAGCCGGGGCTGGAATCCTGATCACGATGGAGGCATATTCACTCGCTCACTCCCAGAGAAATACGCAGAATTTGCTGCCCTGGAGAGGTTGGGAGGGGTCGGGATCCAGAGGGGGGTGTGTGTGTGTGACCACACTTTCGGGGATCTAAGGGGGCCTCCATGTGTAGAGTGTATCTCCCATGCCCAACCCCACAACTCCAGGGCAGAACGGGAGGCCAGGGCAGGTTCATAGAAATAATGGCGCACCCTCAGGAGGGGACTCTGTACACGCACCGCTAAACCCCATGATGCACAAGAATAGCCCCGATGTGCAAAATGTTTAAAATACAGCGACAAAAGGAGAAACTGCAGCCCAAAACACCCGTATGGTGGGACCTGGCAGGCCCACGCTCTCCGGCGATGGTGCCGGAAGATGCAGGGGGGTGGACAGCATGCTGTCCTCTGGCTAAGGCTTCCGTTTGGGGCTCTGCAACCAGCTGTCCTTCAAAGAATTTAGTCCTATAAACTCAGGAGGCCACAGGTCACATCCCTTTCACGGCCTGGCTCACAGGAGGGTCTGACAGTCCAGGAACGAAGGAAGGAAGGAAGGAAGGAAGGAAGGAAGGAAGGAAGGAAGGAAGGAAGGAAGGAAGGAAGGAAGGAAGGGAAAAAAATGAATGCGTAGCTGAAGGAGAGAACATGTGGGCATCTGAATGAGCAAACCGTGCCTGGGGTCGGGCCGTTGGACGGTGCAGACGCAGGCAGGCTGCAGGGCAGGGGACAGTGAGGGGTGCGAGGATACAGAGGCTGGGCCCTCAGAGGGCAGCTGCAGGGGGGTGGGGGAGTGTGAGGCCAGGCAGCGTCCTATGGATCTTGAAGCCCTGGTCCTGGGTGGCCACTGAGAGGGTCAGGAGGCCCTGGAGGTGACGGGGTCATGGGTCAGAGCCTACCAGCCTGGGGGTGGGGCACATGAAAGGTACTGACCAGGCACAGTCAAAGGCGGAGGGAGGATGTCACTCCCTCCTTCCCACACTCACGGACACCCTGGTTCCCTCACCCACCATTCACTCCTTCAGTAAGCTCCCTCATTCATCACGGAACACCTTCCCTGCGCTGCTTTCCTGACCCCTTTCCAGATGCACAGACTGGGGCTCCGAGGAGACTTTCTGGCAGCGGGCCCAGCGGAGCGGGGAGCTCATCCCTGGGGCGGGGGTGGATTCCTTCCGCTCCGCCAGCCGGGACCCTCCTGGTGCTGCACCAGCTGCCAGACTAGGCTAAGCTACGGAGCCGGAGCCGTGAATTCAAGGCCAGGGCAGGGAGCGAGGAGGGGCCTGCGCTGCCTGGGGCTGAGCGGAGTTTCGAGGCCTGGGGGCAGCAGAGGGAAGAGGAACAGGAGTCAGAAACGACGGGGAGGCCTGCCCGCAGCCTCCTGGGACAACAGAACTTCCGGAGGCCCCTCCCCGTCCCCCCCCCCCCTCCCACACATCTCACAAGCCCTCTTGCTTGTGGAGACACACTGGGCTGACTTCCCTGAGCCTCTCCCTTCCCTCCGCCCGCCCCTGCCCCGGCCGCAGCTTCCGGGACCACAGGGAGGGGGCCAGTCCAGGCTGCCCGGGAATCTTCCGTAGAGAGAAACAGAGGTTCCAGGGTTCTGCAGGCTTCCAGCCGGCGAGGGGCAGAGGAAAGATGCTGTGCCAGCCTGGGAGATGCGTAGGTGGCTCCCGCCCACCTCCCAGAGTGTCCTCTCCCTCCCTGCCCCCCTGCCTGCCCGAGTTCCCCTCTGCAATCCCCCCTGCCTGTTAGGGTCCTTTATCCCCCTCAGGAAACAGGAGGGAGGGGCCCTGTGGGCAGTGCAGGACTTCCCTACACGGGAATGGCTGACCGGGTGGAGGGTGGTCTTTTGGGTATTTTGAAGGTAAAGAGACTTGCGGTCAGAACTCACTGGGGGCTTCGGCCTTAAAGTGCCCCCAACCACCACCGAGGGAAGCCTGGTGCCTGGCCCACGTCACAAACGAGGAGACTGAGGCATGGCGTGGTGAACTGTCACACTCAAGGTCACAGGCCCCAGCGGGTGGCGGAGCCAGGACCCACCCACACCCAGGCCGCGGCTGTCCCGCCATCCCACACTCAGGAGCCAGGAACCATCGCCGCCTGCCTGGTCTTGGAGGGGGAGCAGCCGGCTCCTTCCTCACAGATGGAAAGACAGGTGGAGACAAAGGGGCGTGGCCAGCCTCGCCGCCTGTCCCGTCCCGGGGCCCACCCTCACGCACCTTATCCGAGTGACTGGCTTGTCCCCATTCTCCAGGCAAGGAGGACACTGATGGTGGCAGGGGAGCCGGCCATGCGCCTCTGCCTCCCTGGGGCCCTGGCCTGGAGTCCTCCTTACCACGGCGAGAGGGAGTCCCCCACACCCTCATCTCAGAGCCCCACACCATGCCCGAGGTAGGTGGCACACCATGGAACCCCTCACCATGGAGAGAGCGAGGCACGAGGAGCGAAGGCTTCCTGAGGTCGCCCTGGGTCAGCCGTGGGGAGGGCACACTGTCCCTGCGCCCCGCTGAGCTGAGCAGCAGCCACTGCTGAGCATGCCGGGGCGTCCGGCCAATGTGTCCCTGCGCTGACCTCCAGATCTGAAGTGGGCTTTCCCTGCCCAGGTGGGTCCCAGCCCCCCTCGGCCACTACTGCCCCGCCATGGGGGAAGAGGAGGGGTGTCCAGGAGCCCTGTCACCTCACACCCCGGGCTGGGGCACTGCACTAGCCCCCAGCACACATCTCCGAGGCCTCTGCTGCAGATCTGGCTGCAAAACCCAGCCACGGCCCACCCAGGCACAGAGGGGCACCTACACCCGGAAGGAAAAAAAAAAAAAAAAAGCACATGCTGATGTGTCCACAGGCACATATGGTCATGCGTGCAGACACACATGTTCACACGCACACCAAGTTGCACATACACACACAGGCCTGAGGGGTTGTGGAGGGGACACTCCCAGGATACGGGGCCGGTGGACAGAGTGGGACCAGGATCCTAGTGTAGACGGTTTCTCTCGCCTCCTCTCTCTGTGAGCTCCGGCTGCCCAGGGCCTCTCCCTTCACACGTGCATGGAGGCACAGGAGCAGGTCCTGTCGGGGGGCACCCGCATGTGAGATCCCAGCAAGCATGCTATGTACCTGTGTGTGTGTGTGTGTGTGTGCGTGTGTGTGGCCATGGGCGTGCAGCTGGGGGGCGATGAGGCGGGTGTGCACACATAGCATGCGTGCACGTGCACAACTGGGGCAGCCTGGCATGTGTGTGCACACGCGGTCGGTGAGGGTGCAGCCCTCCTTGTCGACACGCGCACGTGTGAGGGAACGTGTGTGCAGCCTGCGGCACTGTGGACAGCAGCAGGGCAGCCCTTGGGGGTGCGGGGGAGCACTCTCCGGGCAGAGCAGGCAATGGGGTCCCCAGCCCCCACTCTCAGGACTTCGTACCAGGCAGGGGAAGGGGGTCCCACGAGGGCTTCCAGGGAGGAGGCGCTGTGAGCCCCTCAGCCCAGCCCGCAGGGGCCCTTAGGCTGCGGCTATGGGGGTTTGGGATGACTGGCCTCCTGGAGGGGCAGCCCGAGCCCCGCACCCCATCCCTCTGCTGTTGCCAACGCCCCCATTCCTTCCGCTGACCCCAGAGACAGGACAGGTCCTGAGCTGAGTCCAGCGGGGCCAGGGTGCAGGAGGTTGATGCTGTCCCCCCCCCCCCCCCCCCGCTGGGCACCACGTTTCCGCGCACATGGCCATTAACCCCCTCGTGGCCGGGACGCTCCAGGGCTGGACCGCGCCCTTCCTTCCAGTCGGCAGCCTCCACCCCGGCCGCCCCCGGCCCCGGCTTCAGGGGCCACCCCGACCCGCCGCCGCCGCCTCTGCCTCCGCCATCGCCGCCTCCAACTTTCCCGGGAAGCGGCAACTTTTCCTGCCTCCGCGGGCTCCGCCCTCCCGGGGCCGAGCCCCCGCGCGGCCCCAGACGGTGCACCACTGCGGTGGGTGGCCCTCGCCGCCGCCCGCGACCCTGCCGCTCTGCCCGGACAGCCGGGACCGGCTCCTGCGGCTCTGGGACCCCCCCAATCCCACCCCCCGACTCCCTGCACCCCCACCCCACTCCCCGCACCCAGCGCCCCACCCAGCGGCCGGCCGGGGCGCGGCGGCGCGGCACTCACCTCCGCCGGGCGCCTTCCTCACCATCGTCGGGGTCGGGCGGGGCGCGTCGGGGACCGAAAGTCGCTTCGGGGCCGGCGCCCGTCTCCCCGCGGCCGGGGCCGCATCCAGGCGCCGCCGCTCCGGCCCGGCCCCGGCCCGGCCGCGGGACGAGGCTGGGCGCGCTCAGAGCTGGCGGGGCCGCGGCGCGCAGGGCGAGGGCGGCGGCGGCGGCGCGGATCCGGCGCGGATCCGGAGCAGCGGATGAATGTTTTATGGGATCATGTGGTCTGACGCGCGAGGAACCCACCCGGTCCCCACGCCGGCGGCCCGGCCGGGGCGGGCGGGGTGGGGCGGGGCGGGGGCGGGGCCTCGCGGCGGGCGGGGCGCTCACCTGGGCGCGGGCCGGGGCGGGGCGCGGGGCTGCGGGGCTGCGGGGCGGAGAGGATGCAAAGACGAGGGGTGCAGGCTGGGCCGCGGGAGGCGCTCAGCCCCACGCCCGCTGCACGGGCGCCGCGCGGCCCCAGACAAAGGCGGCGCATTTCTGAAGAGGCAGCGGCCCCTACCGGCGGCCGCGGGGATGGCAGTCTTGGCCGGAGCAGGCTAGGGGGCACGGGGAGGGGATAGGGGGGTGGGGGAGGAGGGCGGGGAGGACCCAGGGCGTGGCAGCCCGGGGTTGGCCAGCGTGTGTGCCGGGGGTCCCCAAAGTGGCCAGCCACCGATCAGGGCTTTGTCTGGAGGCCTGGAGATGGGGGTGGGAGGAGAGGCGCCTCTGCCTGGCCCGCTCCCTTTCTCGCCTCACTCAATTTTTTCCGGAGCCCCAAAGCCCAGCAGCCCCTTTGCTGGAGTGGGACTGCTCTCCTTTCCAGTCCAAAAACAGGCTCAAAAGCTCCAGGGACTTTTGAAGCCCCTTCCCCAGATGTTCCCGGCGGCGGCTTGAGGCTGGGGCCTGGGTTTCCCAGCAGCTGCCCCAGGTCTGTGTGGCGGGGAATCAGGCACTGCGCGGGCTGCGGGACAGGTGTCCTTTGCCCCTGAGTCAGCACCTTGGCCAGCGCCCTCCGCGCTAGAAGCCCATTGGATGGCTCCCGGATGTCGGCTGTAGGCGTGGGCTGGGGTAGGGAGGTGTGGGCCTGCCCTGAGGCGGGGCTCATGCCAGGCAGAGGGGCAGCTGAGCAGGGCTGAGTGACTGGCCAGCCTGCCTGCCTCCAGCCAGACATGGCTTACTGCTCAGGCTCAAGTCGTGGGGAGGGTTCAGGAAGGCCCATCTACAGGGTGTGGGAAGGTGCAGGACAGCATGAGGGACAGTGGATGGACTCCCTGGGTGGGCAGCTAGGGAAGGCATATGACAGCGGCTGAGGAACCGGGAGAGGGGGAGGTGGCTGGACAGAGGCTTCAGCCTTTAGTCCAGGGGCACAGCCAGTCTTGGGGGCCAAGCCCAGAGAGACCCTGTGGGAAGAGCCTGGTAGATCACTGCCCCTGTAATGGAGTCGACACCCATGGGTTCCTGGGAGGCCCTGCCAGGGGGCGGAGATGACAGACCACTTGGGCCTCATTGATCTGTGTTCCCCAGGCTTTCTGGACACATGCCCTGAGGCCCAGGAGCAGACACTGGCTGGAGACTGCTCTCTAGGCTGATCCTTATCACTCCTTGCCTGCTCTGGGCTTCTGCCTGAATTGCCGCCTCAGACCCATTGCACATGAGACACAACCTCCTCTACGCTTGCCCACCCCTCCCATGGGGTCTGGCACTGCCTCATTCCCACACTCTGGTCCCCAGAGCCACCCTCCATGACAGCATGTCAGCTGTGTGACCTCAGCTCACCCCCTCGGTCTCTCCGAGCTCAGAGCAGCGTGTGGGTGAAGCAGCCACGAATGCCTCCTGGGAGAGGTCAGCTGGTCCGTGTCCCTCATTTCTCCACCTCTCCTGTGCCCGGACAGGACCCTGCAGGGCCCTGCAGGGGAGAGTTTGAGATTTTTCACTCACACTCAGAGAATCCTGCTAGGACAAGGGGATCCTTCTGCTGTGGCCAGTCCTGAGCTGGGGCACAGGGACACAGCGTGACTTCCTTGGAAGGTCACTGCTTGCTTCCATCCTGGAGAGACAGGCCTGTGATGGCGTTGCTCCAGCAGCCCGCTGGGGTCCCTGGGACAGCCCGTTTCTCAGCACCGTCCCAGGGAGGAGTAAGGGGGTGTAGGCATACCTTTTGAGCCATCCCCAGGATGGTGCCAGGAGGGACCCAGACGAAAGCTCAGAGGTCATTCGGCAAACCCATGCTTGCTGCCCAGGTGCCGCTCCAATGCAATATTTCCCAGCACTTTGGGGGAGGGGGCAGGCAGGTGGGAATGTGGTCCCAGTGCCAGGGAGCTGGGGGTGCACCAGCTGCCATCTGCTCTTACCGTGGAGGGTGGCTGCCTGCCTGAGGCCCGAGAGAACTCTGTGCCAGACCTGCTACGTGCATGGACTGACTCTCTCCTATCGTGTAGACACCACAACCCATTTTACAGACAAGAACACTGAGGCCCAGGGAGCTTAGGTAGACCCGCATCCTGGCGCCCCTCCCAGGACTTTATTTGCTCGTGGCCACTGCTTCCTCCAGAAGCACCACCACCACTTCAGCATAGGGAAGGCGTCAACAGCTCAACCCCTGGCAGCATCCCCAAGAATCCCCCTGGGCCTTGCCCGTCTCTGTAAGCCTCCAACCTCCACACCAAGCAGGGGCCTCCTCCCGAATGACGGCGTCGTAGAGTCTACTGTGATGGCGGGCCCCCAGCCTGGCCATGTGTGCTTCCCGCCTCTGAGGGGCTGCTGAGGGTTGTTGATGGGGCGTGTGCATTGCACCGTGGTGGCCCTCGCCACACCCACCTTCTGGGCCTGCAGCCCTCGTGTTCGGCCACCAGGAGGAGGAGACTGGGGCTGTGTGGACATGCAGTGCTGGCCCCTGGCTCTCAGGGCTGGACCTGCCCCTTCTTCTTGCCTCCAGAGGGAGGGAGGAAGGGGTGAGTGTCCAGGGACTCCTAGTGATCACCGGCAGGTGGGCTCGGGTTGTTCTCCTAGAGCGGACAGCCCGTTTGGCAGCGTCTGTCTGGGCACACAAGCCTGGGCCAGGGATGAGTAGGAGGCTTCTGGTCCCCTCAGGGCCCCAAGTGTGGTGCAGGGGCAGATCTCAGGAAAGCGGGGGACCCAGGCTGTGCCCACGGCTTCAGCCCTTGGTTCATTCCCCTCCCCTCCCCCATCCCTGCAAGAGATGCAGATCCTTAGAGAGCCACCCACCCGGCAGTGACAGCTAAATTGGGAGCCACTCTTTGTCCCAGGAGCCCAGCCGACAGTTAAAACCAGGGACCTGCGAGCGCCCGGTGGGATGGGGGAAGGCAGGCCGAGGCATGGCCACAGCTGGAGGGGACACCTGCGGCTGCAGCGAGGGGCTCTTGATGAGCTAATTCAGACCTAGTGCCAAGCCTTGCTCTCTCCAGGGCCCTCTGCCCCCTGAGCCCCTTTCTGAGCTGCCACGATCCATGGGGCACTCAGGTTTGCTCCATTTCCTAGATGGAGAAGCCAAGGGCTCATCCCCGACTGTCTGGGGAGGGCAGAGAAGGACAGTGATGCCCAGAAATCTTACTCCAAGAGCAGGGTGGAGGAGCCCCTCGCTTCCTCCCTTTAATGCTTCCGTCTGCTTGTTTAGGCCCTTAGTCACTCAACAACACCCCGGGAGGCTGGTTTCAGGTGCCCTCATACTTCCCTGCTTGACTTCTACTGCCCTTACTGCCGCAGGTGACAGGTGGAGAGAATGAGCTCCAGGGAGAATGGCCTTGCCTTTTTTTTTTTTTTTTAATATATTTTATTGATTTTTCACAGAGAGGAAGAGAGAGGGATAGAGAGTTAGAAACATCGATGAGAGAGAGTCATCGACCAGCTGCCTCTTGCACACCCCCTACTGGGGATGTGCCCACAACCAAGGTACATGCCCTTGACCGGAATCGAACCTGGAACCTTTCAGTCTGCAGGCTGACGCTCTATCCACTGAGCCAAACCGGTTTCGGCTAGAATGGCCTTGTCTTGTGTCACTCAGCTAAGGAGCCCCAAACAAAGGGCGTGTCTTGGCTACATGGTCACTCGGAAGCCCACAGGGACTGATTCGCCAATGGGGGAGACGATGAGAACCCTCCTGATGCCCCAGGTTCTTCTGGGTTGGCTCGGCCCAAGCCCCAGCATGTGGCTCTACAGCCTGAGAGCCACAGAATGGAGTCAGGTGCAGGTGCAGGAGGGGGGAAGCTGGCAGAGCCTTCACCCTATTCTGAGCTTATCCTAGCCCAGTGATCGGCAAACTCATCCATCCACAGAGCCAAATATCAACAGGACAACGATTGACATTTCTTTCGAGAGCCAAGTTCTTTTAAACTTAAACTTCTTCTAACGCCACTTGTTCAACATAGACTCGCCCAGGCCGTGGTATTTTTGTGGAAGAGCCACACTCAAGGGGCCAAAGAGCCGCAGTTTGCCGACTACGGTTCTCCTAGACTGATCCTTGCTCTGAACCCTGCTCAGGGTCATGGATAATGAGCAGGGCAGGGGCCAGACCTGGCTTTGAGGTGAGACAGGAGGCTCTGTGGCTGGTCCTGGACATCGGGGCCCTGGGCTGGGACTTCCATCCAATGGGCCGATTGCTGGCCTCTTGCGTGAAGGCTGAAGGGCACATTCGCGTGCCCGGTGTAAGGACAGGGCACTGAGGTCTCTGGGAGCGGGGTATTTTTAGCCAGGATTCCTGCTGACAGTCCAGCCTGGCTGAGGTTTGCTGCCAGCCTCAGAGGCACTTCTCTTAGCCTGCAAGGAGTCTGGGGTCTGCCCACCCCATCCCAGCCTCCCTCAGTGCCCTCCCTCTACCAGCCCAGCCAGCTGCAGCCCCTCAGCTAGGTGGCTGGCTTTTCCCAGGAGAGGCTCTCCTAGGTGGGTTGAGCTTGGGTCCTGGGGGTGGAATACCTGTGCCAGGTTCCAGGCTCTCAGCTGCCACTCTTAACCGGCTGGCCTGAGAGTCAGGTTTCTGGGAGGTTTC